CACATCTTACCTACCCAGTGTCCACCATCAAGAGCAAATCTCTGTCCAAAACTAGGGCTTACTTCGGCCCCATGGCCCAGGATCTCCCAAGGAACTTCAGGAGAATCTTTGTCTTATTTAAGTTCCAAAGGTATTTGCTATTGATAAAATCAGTTACAGAACCCCAGGAAGAGAGTTCAAAGGTCATGGTGTTTAATATGGTTCTTGACCTAGAACCTGCCAAGAAGAAAGTATCTAGCTTCTACCTTTGAAGGAACCCCACTCTCTCCCTGGTCATTTTAAAGGAGCTTATAATTCAGCATCAAGAGATTTAGCCAAAGAGGCAGGAAGGGAATAAGCGTAATTAGGAATTGTGGTTGATCAGACATTTCAGTCATGCCTGAGTCTTCGTGACTCCTTTTGGGTTTTCTCAGCAAAGATCCTGGACTGGTTTGCCATTTCCTTCTCCAGATGAGGAAACTGAGGCAAACTGACAAAACTGAGGAGTAAGTGACTGGGCCAGGGTCACACAGTTAATAAGTGTCTGAGGCCAGCTTTAAACTCAGGAAGATGAGTCTTCCTGACTCTAGACTGGCAATCTATCCACTGAGCCATCTAGCTTCCCTTTAATAATAGTAACATTTTTTTTAATGGAAGAAAAGCAACCAGGAATGAAGATGAAAGCCAAAAGAACATTTTTGATAAAAATTAATATATTTATAAAATAAATTACAATAATTTCAGGCATCTAAGCCTAATTCCATTTTTAACCCTGGTATCCTATTCCATGGCATCTTCACAATAGTAAGAGAAAATAAGAGGCCTTATAGGTTCGGTAGATGCCCTGTGATAAACTGGTGGGAATGGGAACAGATCTGTACTGGGATGGGCTGCGACCTGGATTGTTGGAGGGAATATTCCAATTCATGTGATCTCAGAGCCACTGTGAACTTAGAGCTTTGTTCTGGTTTGGTTTGCTTATATTTCATCATTGCTTTTATTTCAGAACATCATAGATTTGGACCTGTAGGCAATCTGAGGGGTGATCTGGGTTTACCTCCTCATTGGACACTAAATTAAAATCTTTTTTTTTTTTTTTGGCTAGGCAGTGGGGTTAAATGACTTGCTCAGGGTCACACAGCTAGTAAGTGTTATGTGTCTGAGGCCTGATTTGAACTCAGGTCCTCCTGAATCCAGGGCAGTGCTCTATCCACTGCACCACCTAGTTGCCCCAAATATAGAATCTTAACATGCACACCACACACACACACACACACACACACACACACACACACACACACTCACACACACACACACACTGGAATGTTTTTATTCTTTTAGAAAAGTTCTTACATTATTGATTGATGTACTGAGCAGAATGGCCTTTAATGTGCTGAAAAATTACAGATTTTATACCAAATAGAAATATGTGGAGCAATGAATAACTCCTTGTGCCTTGGAAATAGAGGTAAAAGTCTCTCTGTAACTGATTACAAAAATAACAATGTTCATCCTTAAACACATTTCTAGGTTATGGACTTCCAATATTGGACCTTTTAAAGTTTCCTATTGGCTCACTATATGGATAAGAAATGGCTTTTTAGAGACAGATAGGCTCATCAGACTGGAATAATTTTGAGTGCTATTTGGACAATTCATTTTTATTAATTTTGGAACCACTGCAGACACTTATCAAAGTCATAATTAAGTCACAAGAAAGACATCATCCCCTCTGAGAAGGCTCTGGCTAAAATAATTTTTGTGTTTCTCCTTTTCTCAGTGAGGATTTTTCTTTTTTTAACTAGAGAAAAGCATGATTAGTTAGCATCATGTCCTTTCTTCATCCCCATGGAACGATGGAGCAGAAGGGCTGGCTTCTGCAACATGGTACCTTGCTTGTAAATTTCAGGGGAAAGCTACTTCCATTGACAGCTCTAATGGCTACCATCTGTTTGCACTGGATTAAGCCCCCAGTGCTTCTTTAATTGGCCATAAATTAAATACCATACAGCAGGCTTTTGACAGGATGTCATGGTGCAGTTACTGAGGGAAAATATATATCTATATCTATATCTATATCTATATCTATATCTATCTATCTATCTATCTATCTATCTATCTATCTATCTATCTATCTATCTATCTATATTCTTTGATTCCAGTGCTTGTTCAATCCTGTTTTAAAAGTAGGGAGAGATACTTCGGGGCCCCATAGCCTCCCATCCTCTTTCATGTTCTCTTCTGTATTTCTCTGCTACAACCAAGATCATTCAGGCTTGAAAGGAACATGGCTAATTCCAGGTACAGCTCTGGATCCTAAAATGTTTAGTTTCTGGAAGAGGGACAAAGCTTGGTACCTCTTCCTATTTTTTTTTCAGGACAATCAAGAATATAGATTATAGCTTTAAAAATGCAAAGGATTTAAGATTTGATTTTCAGGCCCAACCCACTCAATTAATAGATGTGGAAACTGAGTCCTGTAGAACTAATGTGACCTCTTTAAGATTTTATAGGGGGAAAGTGGCAGGATTTAAATCAAGGTCCTCTAACAACAAATCTAGCACTTCTGTCACACATACCACCTCCACTCAGATTCACAGAGCTTACCAACCACCTATTAAGTGACCGTGATACAGTGAAAAGAACAACGAATTTAGAGTCCAAGGACCTAGGTTCAAATCCTAACTTCATTACATTCAAAATGAGTGATCTTGGGCAAGTCATTGAATGTCTTTGGGCCTCAATTTCCTCAACAATAAAAGGAGGTGGAGGTTGAACTTTGAGGTCCCTCCCTGCTCTAAATCTATGATTCTGTAACTCCAATATAAGTCTTCTGACAGTAAATTCAGAGCTCCTTGCTGCCTAGACAGAAGGATCCTTTTTTCAGACTTTAGTTAATAAAGCGCATGATAGTGTTACCATCGTGAAAGGGAAACTCTTGGCATGTTAAGCAAGATGGCAGCTCAATCGTCCGTAGCTCTGGATCCTGTCACTCTTCCATAATTCCTACCATCAGCCAGGGCCCACCACTGCTGATAACTTGACAAAGGTAGTCTTTTCTTTCTCGGCAAGAATGAGCTCCTCTCACCCTAGCAGCTGGCCCCATTCTCCAATTCACTCTCCTTGCATGCCCACAAGCATCTAGGACTTGTAACTACTGTGATTCTTTCCACTGAAGCCGGTATGCCCCACGTGAGATGGGGCTTTGATAAACTAATCCACACTAAGTTATTGCTGAGAGAGGGCAAGAGGGCTGTGCCCACATAATCTGTAAGCCTGAAAGATGTCTTTTTAGAGACATCCCTCTCCTATTTATTGTTTATCTCATTCATAACCAAAGAATTGAACCTTCCCATGGATTTTCAAAATTGCAAGGGACTTTGAGTGATCTAGTCCAACTCTTTCCCTAAGTAAGAATCTCTTCTGTGTAACCCCTAAAAAGTAGACACTCAGGTAGCAAGCTGCCTGACCTCTCCTGTTAAAATTGCCTAGCTGCTGGTATAATTGACTCCCCATAGGCCTGGGAGCTCTTTGATAGCAGAGACCTTCTTCTGCTTTTGTTGGTATCCCTAATGCTTATCACAATGCCTGATATATTGTAGGCATTTAATAAATGCTTATTGATTGAGTGACTAACCAGCTACTGAGACAGTCCATTGCTCTTTGGAGTTGTACTAATTGTTAGGAAGTTTTTCCCAACATCAAGCCTTCATTGGCCTCTTCACAACTTTCTCCCATCTCACCAGCCTTGTCTCCCTTCCCCCCCGCCCAGGGCTGACCTGAGCAAGTCTAATTACCTAATCATCTGACAGCCCTTCCAATGCTTGAGAAGAGCCTTCATGTCCCTCCTGAGTCTTCTCTCCCCCAGGCTAACCAAGGCCACTTCCTTCAGTCACTTCATATGACATGGTTTCAAGTTCCTTCAAAGGATAGAAATTTTGACTCCAGTAATAGTGGAAAACAGAGCCATGGAAATAGAGATAAGGCAATATTTTTCTTTAAGTGAACTTTTAAGCGGCCCTGAAATCCTTCAGTATTTAGGACTGGCCATATCTCCAGAATGTTTCTTTTGGAGTCATTTGATCTTCTCAAATATAGACTGTGTTGGGCATATGATTCATGCACAATGGGGAGAGGAGATTATGGTGTTGAAGTAGTCTGATTGGACTTCTAATTTCTAGTTTCTCCCCTTAACAACATCGTCAACTCAGGTATAAAAAGAAATCTCCCCCATGGCTGTGTCTAATCATGTAACTCTGCTCCAGAAAGTTCAACGACTCTTTATTGGATTCAGGATGAGATGCAAATCTACCAACTCATCGGCTTGGCTTTTAAAGCCTGTGACTTCAGCCAAGCTTCAGGGATTTCCTGCATCTAACTCCCCCTCACTCATTTTCCACTCCAGCCAACTGGTTTATCTGCTCTTCTCTGAACTTGGCACTCTCTCATTTCTCATCTCTGTACCTTTGTACAGGCTCAACCTCCTTCCTGGAAGTCTCTTCCACCCCATCTCCTCTTCTTAGAATCTCCAGCTTCCTTTAAGGCTCAGCTTGGGTGCCATCTCTGACGATACATGTGTATATATATATATATATATATATATATATATATATATATATATACACACACATTTTTTCTGATCTTACTCTATCCTCTTTAAATGATTATATTTGCACTTATCTGTGTATAAGCTGTTTCCCCACAGTAGAATACAAAGTCCTTTGGGGTGAGGTTAGGCAATACTTTTTTTTTTCTTTTTGTTTTTATAGATACAATGACCAGCCCATGTCCTTGTACATAGAAGATGCTTGTTGGATTTGAATGGTACCTACATGAGAAGGAAAAATATAATGTAGTAATCAATTATTAAATTATCTTTGTAAAAGTGAAAAGAGTTCCCACAGCAAGAAAAAGCTGATGTCTGCCATAAAATGTGAGACATTGTCATCAATAGATTGTCAGGTGATTCTGCTGACAACATCCCCAAAACACATGGTGCAACAATAAAACAATGGACTTACTCTCTGTCGATCACCAGGCAGGTCACTGCTTCTGCTGCAATGACATTGGCAGTCCTCACATCTTCCCTAAAAATTAAAATAGAAAGGGACCTTTAGTAAGGCAGTACATTTTTGTGGAATATGTCTAATAAAACATGTTTCCTTATTTAAGATATTTGGATTTGCCCATCCTAAGGTGGATTTTGAATAAATCTGCAGTGTGGCATAATGGGAAGAAAGTTGGTCTTGGATTCAGGAAGAAGACTGGGGCCACAGAGAGAGAGAGAGAGAGAGAGAGAGAGAGAGAGAGAGAGAGAGAAAATAGGTGAAGGGGAATAAAGCAAGATAAAACTGGGGAGTGTGGTGCCAGACATTGGAGGCCCTTCAGTATTAGGCAAAGGAGTTTGAGCTTTAATGCTGGGGGGCAACACGGAGACACTGGTGGTTTTTGAGCACAGAAATGCTGCCTGGGTCTCTGTGCATAAAAGATCTTTCCAGCAAGTTGGGAAAGGTGGTTGAGAGAGTCAAGGTGGGAAGACCTGTAAGGAATCTCTCCTAGTCTAATAGTTCAGGGGAGTGGCATTGAAGGTTTGCTTTAGGGCAACGGAAGTGGGAAATAGAGAATAAGGGCAAGTGGGAGAGATGGAAGAGGGGTGGAATCAATGGGGCCTGATGACAGACTGCATGTGAGGGTAAGATTAGGGTTGAAGTCTACATTACCTCCAAGGTGGGAGCATGGAGGACTAAATGGGTGAAAAATTGAAGTCAGAGGTTAAGTTTTTGAGAATGAAAGGTCATGACCTCTGCTTTGGGTATATTAATTCTGAAGGGTTGTTGTGACATCCAGGTGAAAATCATAGATCTAGAGATAGAAGGGACCTTAGAAGCTATATAATCCAATTTCTTCATTTTACTGATTAGGAAACTGAGGCACAGGGAAATTAAATAATTTTCCCAGGATCACTCAGTTGGCCTGCAGGTGTCTGAGGTGAGATTTGAACTCATGTCTTCTTGATTCCAAGTTCAGTGTCCTCTCCATTGTACCAAGTTCAGTTAATCAATCAACTTTTGTTGGGTCTACTCTGTGCCTGCTTTCAGTAATAGTTTCCAGTAATACAAATACTTAAACTGTCCTTGTTCTCAAAGAGCTTGAAATCAATGTCTTATTGGAGATGCCAGTTCATGACTGAGACAAAGGGTCAGGGCTGGAAAGTCAGATTTGGGGATTATTCACAGATAGGAAGATGAAACCATGGGAATGAAGAAGATGCTCAAGGGAGAACATGGAGAGAGAAGAGTTGAGGACCAAGGACAGGGCCTCGGGGCAGTGAGTCACAACCAGCTTGGGGAGAAGTCAGAGATCAGGAAAACACAGCAACAAAAAACCATGAGCACAAAGATGAGCATTGTTGGGCACGAGAGTGTGCACATCCCGTGTGTGTGTGTGTGTGTGTGTGTGTGTGTGTGTGTGTGTGCATGCGTGCGTGCGTGTGCTTGGGGGGGGTTGGGCTGGGTGGCACATGAGGTCCCTTCCAACTCCTGACATCTGTGAAACTCTGGTTCTGTGTTATCTCTCAAGATGATTGAGGAGAGAAAGCTTAGTAGGAGGGGGTAAGGTGTGTGTGTGTGTGTGTATGTATGTGCATGTGTGTGCATATGTGTGTGCATGTGTGCTCACGTGTGTACATGTGTGTGTATCTGTGTGTGACTATGTGTGTGTCGAGGGAGGAGGAGCGTGGAGGAGGAAGGTCAGCATTGCCAAAATCTATGATAGAACATCACAGAAATTGAAACTGGGGATACAATTTCTGTTCAGGGACATCTGAGCTGTTACAAATAGATCGTACTTTTTAAAAAGTCATTTTTGTGCACTTATCCTAAAATCATCTCATTTGGGTGTTCTATGCTTGGTCCTTAAAAATCTGCTTTGAAACATCTTTTTGGGAGCTGTCAAAGATAAATCTGGTAACAATTTGCATATTACATTTGTAAGAAGCTACTCGTAATTTTAAAGTGTTTGCACAATATATTGGAACAAATGTTTCTACCAAAGCTGCAGACATAACTGTGAAATACTGTTTTCTTTAAGTAGAGATAATCTTTGAATTAATTTGATTAATGATGTTTTCCCTAAGGATACCATCATTACATTAAAGTGTCAGGTTCATCAATCATATTTTAGTTTAATTAAGAAATACTTCTGAGATCTACTATCAGAGATTCATATTTCCTCATAGAAACCATGGCCATCTATGATTACAGAAGTCTTGATATCACCATTGGGTGGCTTTATCCATTATGCAAAGTGTTTCTCTCATGTTGGGCCCAGAGAAGGAGGATGCCTTGCTCAGAATCACACAGTTTCAAAAAAGCAGACTTGGGACTGGCGCTACCTCTTTTGTTTCTCACAGCCACCCTAGGAGGTAGGTGTTATGGCTATTTCCATTTTACAGTTGAGAAAACTGAAGCAGACAGATATTAATTACTTGCCCAGGGTCCCCCAGCTAGTGAATGTCTAAGCCTAGACTTGAACTCAGGTCTTCTGGAATCCAGGCCCAGAGCTCTGTCCATGGCGGCACCAGCTGCCTTAGTAGATGTTGGAGACCTAGGCTTCAAGGCACTGTGTAATAAATTCAGATCTAGAAAGAACTTCAGAGGCCATTTTATAGATGAAGAAACAAAGGCACAGAGCAGTTATACAAGCTGCCCAAGGTTCCATAGCTATTAAATATCTGAGGCTGTATTTGAACTCAGGTCACCCTGACCCCAAGTCCAATGATCTATTCACATGCCAAAGTCAAGGAGACCTGGGTTTGGATACTGCCCTCAGACACCCACTAGGTGCATGACTATGGCCAAACCACATCACTTCTGAGGCTCAGTATTCTTCTCTGTAAAATGGGACTAATAATACCAAACCACAGGTCTGTCATGAGGATCAAATGAGGCACTGAATGGGTCACCTGACAAACTTCAAAGCACCATGGAAATGTCAGTTACTATTCTCTAAGTTCAAAGTCAGAAAAACCTTCCTAACACTTACAGCTGTCCCAAAGCAGAACTGACTGAGCTGGGAGGTAGAGGGCTTTCCCTTACTGGATGCCTCCAAAGAGGCAGGTCCTACCATTTCCAAGGTAGCCCATTTCTCTTTGGGTGACCTCGAATTGTGATGAAGGTTTTCCTGACCTTAGCCCTAACTTGGTCTCTTGGTCTGGGTTCTACCCTCTGAGGTCAGGGAGAACAAGAATTATCCCTTCTCCACATGGCGGCCCTGCAAAAGTTCGAAAACAGTTATGTCACTCAAGAAGCATTTAGAAATAAGCACCTGCTATGTGTCAGACAATGTGCTGAACACTGTGGATACAAAAAAAGGTTTGTTTTTTTTCAGTAGTTCTTGCTTTCAAGGGTTTCACAGTGTAATGGAGGAGGAAACATGCAAACAAGACACATACAGGATAAAATGGAGATAATTCAGAGAGGGAAGGACTAACACTAAGGGAGATTAGGAAAGGCTTCTCGTCTTTTCTTCTCCAAGCTAAACATCACCAGTTCCTTCAGTCTTTAATTTCTTCCTATCTCTTGGTTTCTTCCCGGCTGCCTTCAAACATGTCCATGTCTCCTCCACCAAACCAAATCTCTCTTGAGCCTCTCATCACCTCCTATCTCTTCTCCTCTGCCCTGCTAAAGTCCTTAAGAAAACTTCCTGTACTGTCTCTCACTTCCTTCTAAATCCTCTGGCCATGGCTTCTGATGTCATCATTTAACTCAAACTGCTCTCTCCAAAGTTCCCAGTGATTAATTGCTGGCCAAACCTAATGGCCTCTTTCCACTCCTGGCCACCACTGACCACCTCCTCCCACTGGATACTTTCTCCTTTCTGGCTTTTCATGACACTGCTCCCTCCTGGTTTGCTTTCTCCTTACCTGACCATGCCTCAGTCTTCTTTGCTGGATCATTACCCATGATTCACTGAGAGAGCACCCTGAGGGTTGTGTCCCAGATACCTTTCTCTTTTTTCTCTACCTTCTTTCACACAGTGTCCTCATCAGCTTCCAGGGTTCAATGGTCATCTTTATGCAGATACATATGCAGACCTAACCCCCTCTCCTGACCTCCATTCCTACTTTACTAACTGCCAGTTGGGCATTTGAACTGGCTGGCTGAACAGCAACTCAATCTGAACAGGTGCACAATAGAACTCCTTGTCTTTTCCCCAAAGCACAGCCTTCCTTTGAACTTCCCTGTTCTCATGGAGGGTGCCATCCTCCAGTTTCCCAGGTTGGGATTCATGGCGTCATCCTCCGTGCTTCACTCTCCCTCACTCAGCATACACAACAGGCTGGATCTCTACACCATCTCCAATACGTCCACAGTCTAACTTAGGCCCTCATCATTTCTTTCCTTCATCATTGTAATACCCCTTGAGTTGAGCCCTATGCCTCAGGTCTCCCATCATTCTAGCCTGTTCTCCACACAACGATTTTCTAAAGTGAAGATCTGACTATGTCACTCATCTTCCCCTACTCACACACACACACACACACACACACGCACGCGCGCACATGTATGCACATGCACACATAACACACATGCACACATGCAGACATACACACGTAACACACATGCAGACATACAGACATATATACACCATCACCACTACAGTGACTCCCTAGTACCACAATGATAAAATATAAAATTCCTTATTTAGCATTTAAGGCTCTGCATAACCTGGTCTCTTTTTACTTTTCCAGTCTTACGTATGACTCCATGTACTCTACAGGCTATTTGCTGTTCTGCACACATGACCTGGCATCTCTCATTTCTGTGCCTTTGAACTGGCTGTTTCTAAACCACCAATGCTTTCTTTTTTCAACTCTGCCTCTTGCAATCTCTGGTGTTCTTCCAAACTCTTCTCGAGAACTGCCCCTTACACACCATTTTTCCTGACTCTTCAGCTGCTAGTACCTTGCTTCCCCAAACTACTTGCATTCATTTTGTATGTATTATGTCATTTTAATAATTATAATTACTTATGCATATAACTCACATTTACATAATACTTCTACATTTGCAAAGTGCTTTAAATG